GGTGACTTTATATATATAGGTGATGGAAGCAAGGTTTTCCTTGAGCTAATTATCTTTAAAAGAAACAAACAAACAGAGCCCTGAACTCGTGGTTCCTTGACTAAGTGTCCACTGAGGTCTGCCTGTGAGTAGGAGGGAAGGTCATCTCGGTGGTGACCAGAGACAGTCTCCTTGCACGACACCGCCCTACGTCCCACGGAACCTTGCTCTTCCTCCCAGTCCCCAAACCCCGGGGAAGTCTGGGTGGCACTTGAGAGTGTGACACCCACAATGTGGAGGCCGTTTGTGAATGAACCACCGTGGGGAGGGAATGCGCGGGATTTCTGACGGGGCGGCTGTCAAGGTAGGACCGTTCATTAGCGGTCGGATGCTCATGGTGCCTGTGAGAACGGATCCTCCCCGCCTGTCCTGTTGGTCTCTCGGGGCCGTTCTGTGGCGGAGCTGCGATCCCGCACCTAAAACGCTCTGTAAACTGTCAAGCTCTTATGCGTTAGTGTTGCTCACAGAAAAGAAAGGGAACCGGAGTTTTTAAAGAAAGCAGAAAGCCATTTCTGGGAGTTTTTGGTGGTTTGTTTCAAGCCACCCATGAATTGTCATGTGGGCTGTTTCCATGTAAGTGTTTGTGCCTTGTGGGGGTTGTTACCATTTTTTTTTTTTTAAATCAGAAAGAGTCTAGAATAGCGGTTCTCAACCTGTGGGTCGAGACCCCTTTGGGGGTCGAATGACCCTTTCACAGAGGTCGCCTAAGACCATCGGAAAACACATCTATAATTACATATTGTTTTTGTGATGAATCACTATGCTTTAATGATGTTCAATTTGTAACAGTGAAATTGGGGGTCACCACAACATGAGGAACTGTATTAAAGGGTCGCGGCATTAGGAAGGTTGAGAACCACTGGTCTAGAAGTTCTGGATTTAAACGTGGAAGGGAGCTGAGAAGTCATCCAATTGCCTTGTTTGGGGATAAGATGCGAAAACCCTGTAAGATGCAGTTATCTGTCCAGGGTCGCGGAGCTCAGCTAGACGGGCAACCTCATTTGGCTCCGTAAGGATTTGCTTTAGGAAAGAACCACATTTAAAAGGTGTGAATCCGTTCTTTTATTCATCCTGGCCGTCTTCCTTGAGTCAGTGCTGTCACCCGGTAACCCTAAAGTTCCTATCAGCCGGGACATGCCCAAGCCACCATCTTCGCGTTGCTGGGAGAAGTCCTTGCTCTCCGGTGAACGGTTGCCTGTGCTTGCTTTATTTCGAACAGATAAAAAGGTTTATTCTGCTTTTCCATGTCACACTGTCATCATCTGGAGTGATTTCGTTACGTTAGCGGGCCATGCCCTTATGAAGCGGTATCGTGAGACCGGAGTGAAAAATCGCTTTCCGAGTTAGCATCGTTATCAGTTTTATTGGCCCTGAAACGGAGTAGAAGGATCCAGGAATGATGGGGTAATCAACGCGAATTAAATCCCCAGGGAGCTCACATTAGTCCTGGAGTCAAAACGGGGGGATGCCATGACTTCCACATCTGGGGCCTCCATCCACTTTAATCAGGTCTAAATTATGCTGTGAAGACTTCGTTTTGCTACATTTCCTTGCTCAGACGTGGCAGACGTCCTGTTCCTCTCTGGTTCCTTCTTGAAACCTGCACACATTCTCACTGTTTCTAGGGAACAGTTGCCTAACTTGATTGCCATCCAAATATTCCGAGTTGCTGTTATGTCGATAACTACATCGGGGATAAGAGAGAATCACTGATTGGCTGCCTCCTGCACACTCCCACTGGGGATGATGGAGCCCGCAACCCAGGCATGTGGCCTGACCGGGAATCAAACCGTGACCTCCCGGTTCATAGGTCGACCACTGAGCCACGCTGGCCGGGCCCAGATACCTCTTAGATATGTAACCGTTAATACACTGAATGGCCCAGCACTAAGTTCACAAAAAAAATCCATTTGGAAGCCTTTGATTTCCCTTGTCGAATTGTTTGTGTCCGTTCCTACTGAAAAATTTGTCTTCGTCTGGTTCTTGTGCTGTGAGCTCTTTCTCCTTGAATCCTCAACGCCTAGGTGTTTTCTGTTTGTTTGGTTTGAGTGTGACTCACTGGGGCCCCGGAATGTACGTGGCCTTGCACCTGCATCGGGGGCTCCGTGGAGCTTGACTGCTCATCCTGAGAGCGGACATTGGGGAGTTTTCCAAGGAACCGGCTGCTGTCTTGGTAACGAAGACCAGAGTTGTCCCTGCACTGGACACTGCTTGCTGGCCCTCGAGTCCCCCTCCAAGCTGGTGTCTTAAGTTAGAGAAATCAGAGTTCAGTTCTCTGGAAGTTTATGTTACCAACTTACAGCTTAGCTGTTGGCCAAGCGAAGCACTCCGTTGTTATTCTTAAAGTCAACAGTCATTTGCAAAGTCACTTAATTCTGGGGCAGATTAGGGGGAAAATAGCTTGGATATTTTTGGAAATGACGGTGGCTCTCGGAAATGAGGAGATTGCCTTTTTATGAAGTTGTATTTTTTGGTTCTTTAGGGAACTGATGGATAAAGAATAACCTACATTTATTGTGCACTTACCATGTGCCAGTCATGCTTTATGTGTGTTTTCATCTCTCTTACATTTCACAATAGAGAAAATAGACCAATAGGAGTTTCTCTCTCTCTCTCTCTCTCTCTTTCTCTCTCTCTCTCTCTCTCACACACACACACACACACACACACACACTCATAAGGAATTGGTTCATGCATTTATAGATGCTGAGAAGTCCAAGATCTACTGTTGGCAGCTGGAGAGACTCAGGAGAGCTGATGGTGTAAGTTCCAGTCCGAGTCAAGGGAAGACGGATGTCCCAGCTTGAAGCCAGGCAGGCAGAGAGAGTGTACTCTCCCTTCCCCAGCCTCCATTCTGTGCCGGCCCTCAATGGTTTAGCTGCGGCCCACCACATGCAGGAGGGCAGTCTGCTTTAACCAGTCAACCACTCACATGTTAATCTCCCCCAGAATGACCCCCACAGACACCCCAGGAATACTGTTGGGTCAAATATCTGGGCATCCCCTGGCCAGCCAAGTTGACACAGGAAATGAACCGTCACAAAGACCCGCTCTTGTCTCTAAGTGCTGCGCTCCATGGCATTCAGGAGCAAGTGCTAGGGGACGCCACTTCTGAGGACATTACAATGGAATGTCCCATCCTCCATCCGACCCCCAAAACATACATGTTGGAAATCACGCCATGAACGCCTCTCCCGTCTCCAGGCTGTGGCTACTTGGATCCAAAGCAGCCACAGAATTTGAAGAATGGGAGGGAGATGGCACGATTTCAGGACTGCAGGATCCTAGGATAAGATTGTTCGGTGGTTAGCAGGCATGTTACTCTCCACTCCCCTTCCCCAGCCCCGAGGCCAGCCCGCCTCCTTAGTGGACACGTTATCTGATGGGGCTGCCCATCAACATTACAGAAAGACACCAGGAGAACAGCTCCACAGAAAAAAATGGCCCAGGCTGGGACCCGATCCGCTTGGGGGCAGTTTGCAAAGTGGAATCGAAGCTCTTCCAAGCCCCAGAAAATTACTATCTTGCTCGATGGGATTAGTTGTCCAAAATGAAGAATATTTTTCGCCTTTTGCCACCCCGCCTTCCAATTGTTTCTTTTCATTGCTGTTCTATTTCCCTCTTCGCCAACGGCCAGAGCCCACGGCCAGCAGCACCCTGATCATTAGCACAGGCCCAGGCAGGGACACAGAGTCGGGGGTAACTATGGTTACGTGAAAGCAGAGACTGGACGGGGATGTCCTTTTAAAGGGGCAGGGATATGGAAAGGAAGAGTACGAATTAGATTCACGAGGAAGCTCTGCTGTTCTCACATCCTGATCTTCATCATTTATTTATTAGGGCAGGGGTCATTTTTCTGATAGATCCGAGGCCGGATCTTTATCTTCACCTCTCCCTTGGCTTGTCTGTTCTTCTCTGAGAGAGAACAGTTTTGCGGCCCAGGGTGGTGAGGGCCTGTGCCCAGGACCCGGCAGTCAGCATGGCTCATGTGTTCGCAGGCGGTGACTGGTCAGAAAGCACGTGTTGGGGCAGGAGGGGGTGGACACAGATGTCTCAGCCGAATCCCTGACATACACCACCTCTGGCTCAACATTGGAGAGGGCGGGGCGGGGGCTGGGGTGTCTGGGGATGTGGATTGGAAGATGGTTGTAAAAATGTGAAGAGAGCAGTCCATTCAGGTTAGGAGATGAGAAGGTGTCTGTGCCTGGGGGGAGGGGGCATATCACACCTCCCTTGTCCCTGGAATACATAGGCTTTAGAGGCTATCGAAGCGATAGGGGAGGGGATAGGGACGTTTGCCTGATGAGTCCAGCAGAAGAGATGTTGTGTGGCTTCATCCATCCACCCATCTATCATCCATCCATCCATCCATCCATCCATCACCATCCATCCATCCATCCATCCATCCATCCATCATCCATCCACCCAACTATCCTCCATCCATCCATCCATCTATCACCATCCATCCATCCATCCATCCATCCATCACCATCCATCCATCCGTCCATCCATCCATCCATCCATCCATCATCCACCCACCCACCTATCCTTCATCTACCCATCCATTTATCCATCTATCCTTTCCCATCCATCCCCATCATCCACCCACCCACCTATCCTTCATCTACCCATCCATTTATCCATCTATCCTTTCTTTATTCATCCATCCATCTATTCATCACCCACTGATCCATCCACCCATCCTCTATCCATCCACCCATCCTCTATCCTTCCATCCACCCGCTTATTCTTTATCCTCTTGCCCTCCTTGAAAAGCGACCTCGGTCATGGAACTGAAACTCTAATGAGCTGTGCACTCGAGCGCCTACGTTCCTGGCTGGCTGGTTGATGTGGTTGGGTGGGCCATGGTGTCGGGGAGAACACAGTAGCTGCCACTTAGCCGGGAAGACCCTCAGCGCTGGAATGTGTCGGGACACCTTTTCTTCTCTCTGTCCATGTAGGCTTCGATGACCTCCAGGCGTGTGCCGACCCCGGCGTCCCCGAGAATGGCTTCAGGACGCCCAGCGGAGGGGTTTTCTTCGAAGGCTCCGTCTCCCGCTATCATTGCCAGGACGGATTCAAGCTGAAGGGCTCTACGAAGAGACTGTGTGTGAAGCATCTCAATGGGACCCTGGGGTGGATCCCGAGTGATAGATCCATCTGTGTGCAAGAAGGTAAAGTGCTTACACCCACCCCCTCCCCTCCCTTGGAAACCTCTCACGTGGTCAGTGTCTGCGTTGTGGCCAGCTGGCGTTGCCATGGCTGCAGGGGTCCAAGGCTGCGGGTGCCAGAGGGATCAGTGCCCGGGGATGCTGTCCTTGTTTCAGAGCTAGTCCTGCACGCTGACGGAAAAGCACGCGTGTGTGATGAGGGCTGGGGCACATCCATCCATCTCAGCGTTAGAAGTAATCATCTCCCCTCTCGATCTCAATGGCCATCCAATTCATCACCATTGTTGTCGATGCAGGAGAGAAGCTCAGATCAGATTAGGGCTGTTTATTACTGGGCTGCCAACTCCACACTCATTTCCATGTTACTCCATAAAAAGCACAGTAGATGTAGGGGGCAAAGACTATACGTAATGATACAGACAATGTCTGATTCCGAGGATTAAATCAATTACTACTTATCAGTTCTCTGTTAGACGTGATTCATTTAAGGAAAGAAACAACCGTGACAAGCAATGACAGGTTGACAAGGGAGACATTTATTCTAGCAGCCACCCCTCAATTTATTGGTCATGAGAAGATACTCTTTTTTTTTAAAAAAAAATATTTTTTATTGACTTCTTTACAGAGAGGAAGGAAGAGGGATAGAGAGTTAGAAACATCAATGATGAGAGAGTAACATTGATCAGTTGCCTCCTGCACATCCCCTTCTGGGGATGTGCCCGCAACAAAGGTACATGCCCTTGACCGGAATTGAACCTGGGACCCTTGAG